GACTCAGTATTACTAGTCTTGGGAGGTTGTATCATTATTTCCGCTGTTGGTTTTGATTATCTATTTTTTAAAAAATAGCTTGAATTGTTATTATGATTGGCTTACTTAGTCTTAGAGACTAAGTGCCATCACGACGCCTATGGTGGGATTTTGGGTCGTGACAATATACATAATAAGATATGATGAAGAAGCAAAAGAAAAAGGTAGACAACCCAAAGCAATCATTTTACTAACTCCTCACGATCCTTCATTTTATCATATTTCAGAAGTCCTCCAGTACTAGCTAGGATTTAGAGTTCCTTGATTTTCATATAAATCAGAGCCCCATTCTATAGGATGAGCAATTCTCATATGTCTACTAAGTGTCCCAGTCCCCCCAAAACTTCCTCCAATCTTATGTTTAAAATTATCTTTACAAATTTTGCATCCAACTCTATCAGTATTCTCTATTTCCTCAAAATATTTCCAAACTTTACTTTCCTTTCTCCAATGACTACTAGTCGGGGCCACAGGTGGTCTACTACTAGTGCCACGACCACTACCATTATATGTCTACTAAGTGTCCCAGTCCCCCCAAAACTTCCTCCAATCTTATGTTTAAAATCATCTTTACAAATTTTGCATCTAACTCTATCAGTATTCTGTATTTCCTCAAAATATTTCCAAACTTTACTTTCCTTTCTCCAATGACTACTAGTCGGGGCCACAGGTGGTCTACTACTAGTGCCACGACCACTACCCTTGCTACAAACTCCAACACTACTAGGTGTAGGTGGTGTCTCTTCTTCAATTTCTAATTCATTATCTTTTATACCGTAATCTTCCTGTAATTGTCATAATCTATATTATTATTAGGTGATGTTTCAGAAACATGTGTAAAGTTATTTAAATTACTATTAGAAGTTGAAGTAACACCTCTTTTTCTATTTTTCCAATTACCCCGATTAGCGACCTTATTACAAACTCGTTTTGCAGCATTAAACATATTGTGAAAATTTAACTACTAATAAAAATTAACTATGCAAATAAAATATTAAATAAGAGAAAGAGTTGGAACGAGTGCACCAAATTCTACAATAATTGAACACTTGATGATTTTTGAAGTCTTGAAATTGAATTTCGCAACTCCGATGTTACCACGAAGAAACTTCAATTATTCAAAGTCCAAACTTCAAATAATACCATGAATAAAATTTCAAAAACATCGAGAGCCAAATAGTTGATTGCAATTTTGGTGAAGAATGGGAGAATGACAGTTGAGAATTTGGGTTTGAGAATTGAGAGATGAGTGAAGCAATGACGAGGGGGAGGGGTGTCTATTTATAGTTTTTCAAAGGGCTAAATTAGTAAATAATACAAGTGTTATTTTTAAAAAAAAAATCTCAAAAGGGGCTATCCTTGCAAATTAGCTGTTGGGCGACGGCCAAAATGGCATCTAACTGTTGCCAATGGTCAAGATTATTAAATAAAAAAATTGAACTAGCCGTTGAATCGGTCTGGGCCAGTCCAGTTAACCGGTTCACGAGTGACAAGACCTTACCGGGTTTTATCGGTCCGGTTAACAGGTGTTCAAATTTTTCTCGGTATAGGCCGGTTCCCGTCCCAGCCCAGCCTTGCCCGGCCCCCTTACCACAGGGCCGGTCCGGTTTAAAACTGGTCAGGGCCGGTCCAGAATCGAGCCAGCCCGGCCCGTTTGACACCCATAGTATTAGCTATGGAGTATTTCAGCAGGCTATTAAGAAATATGGCTAAAGACTCCAAGTTTAAATATCACCCTAAATGTGCCAAAGAAAGATCATTCAGTTTGGCTTTGCAGATGATCTCTTGCTATTGTGTATGGGAGATATTGAGTCTGTGCAGTTGCTCTTCGAAAGTTTCCAGTCATTCTCAAAGGCCTCTGGACTACTGATAACCAAAGCAAAAGTTCAGTATACTTGGGAGGGGTTCAGCCTATCAAACAACAACAAATTTTGGATATGCTAGGATTCTCTAAAAGTGACCTTCCTTTCAGGTATCTAGGGGTCCCGCTTAGTTCCAAGAGATTGTCGATTACACAATGTAGACCCCTATTGGACAAGATGTTGGATAGGATTACTAATTCTTGTCATATGCTGGAAGGGTCATATTGATTAAGAGCGTGTTGTTTGCCATACAAACCTCTTGGGCTCAGATCTTTATCCTTCCAAAGAAGATTGTGAAACAAATTACTACTACATGTAGAAGATTCTTATGGACTAGTGGTAAAGAGGGAAATATAGCAATTTTGGCATGGGATACTTTGTGTCACCCAAAATCAGCTGGGGGTTTGAATTTTTTTGACATAGAGAAGTGGAATAAAGCGGCAATTTGCAAGCAATTGTGGAATCTGAGCAACAAAAAAAAAAAGGATACATTATGGTGAAATGGGTGCATGCCTATTACTGGAAGAGCGGCTCTATATGGAATGCAAACTTTCAACAGGCATCTTGGTGCATCAGGAAAATTACTATCGCAAGCAAACATGTTACCCAAACTGGCATGACAATGAATGGGCTAATTAACATGGAGCACTTTTCTATCAAGAAGATGTATCAAACGCTCAGGGGTGACTATCCTAAGGTTCCCTAGAGAAGAATAACTTGCAATAATATTGGTACACCTAAATGGTTATTCATCATGTTATTGGCTGCTCATGAAAAACTGTACACAAGAGATTGGCTGTATAAGTGAGGAGTGGTTTCATCTGATATGTCCCTTATGCAACCAGACAACTGAGTGTATAGCACATTTGTCCTTTCAATGCACGATTACTGCTGAAATATGGAGTAAACTGTTGCAATGGCAAGGTATTCGGAGGCAAGTAATGAGCTGGAATGATGAACTTGACTGGGCTGTAGTTAACTATAATGGCAAGAATACAGAGGCTGAGCTGTACAAGATGATTTTAGCTGAGAGTGTTTACTATATCCGGCAAGAGAGGAATCAAAGGGTATTCATGAACAACAAAAGGAATGTTAATACTATCATTAAGATGATTGTTCAAGATGTATTTCATAAGGGGTCAATGAAGCCATCCGTAGCGCGAAAACTAAAAAAAACTTGAATTTTTATTCTTGAACTGGAATAGTAGAGATGAAGGTGCTTGAAATTGGTAAGATATAAGATGAGAGTTGAGCTGGGGCCTTTTGTGCATATAAATGTGCATAATTCCTAAATAATTGGCCAGTCCACATTATTTCTACAGTTTTTGTATCAATCATTAAAAGCTAATTAATAGCAGCTGTATCTTCCTATTTTTGCGAGCTAAATTTTAGGAGCAAAATATTCTGAACAGATTTGGCGTGAATAAGATCATATCATATCACGGAAAATCGCTCATCTTCAATTTATAAACAAATTATGTTCGTCGAAATCAAAATATTAGTTCGTTGCTACAAATCAAACTATCAGTTCATCGAAATCAGAAGCTCAATTCCAAATTGTAGAAATCAGTTCTGCAAATCTCAGTTTGTCGACTTTTTTCATCAATCCTTAATCAAAAAGTTCAAGTCAAATTGTAGAAATCAATTCTGCGATTCTCTGTTATTCATCTTTTTTTTTTCTGAATCCAAAAAATCAAAAAAGCGACAAAATATTGAACAATAACTCTGCAACGACAAGCAATGATGTCCAAAATCCCAATCATGCTACATTTTAATGGAAATTGGGATAGCTATGGCAGCCTCTCCCGTCATAGAGGAATATCAAAGTGAGATTGTAGATAATTTATAGACAAATTATAGTTAATTTGTAGATTGTAGATAATTTATAAATATAATTGTAGATAAATTGTAGATAAACTATTTTATGATTGTAAATATTTTTATTCATGTTTGTTATGTAATTCTAGGTGAGGGCTTCAACAGATCATATCCATACTGTGATAGATGGTGTGAAGCGGTACATGAATCCTACATTATAACTACTATTAACTACAAAAACTCTACAATTATGTATAAAACCAGCTCTACAATTCAAACAAATTTACCTACAGTTTACCTACAGTGAATGTACAAATTACCTACAGTTTAAGTACCTAATATAAAAATAACTACAATTTACCTACAGTTACAGGGCAAACAGGCAACACATCATCCACAATCATGTCTACATTATATCTACATTTTAGACTACAATTAATCTTGTAATGTTCTACATAAACTACAAACTAACTACAATTACACTACAAATAGTAAAATACAACAATAAACTATTCTGTCCACAAAATATCTACAACTACAAAAGGCAGAACATCACAACTACAAATAACTTTTTTTTAATTACTTTTTTTTGCTTTTGTTTCCCTCGAACTTCCCCACCCCCTTCTAATTAAGGAGTAACGGAAACCCTTTAATTAAGGAGTAAAAAATATCTCATTAATTATACCCTTAATTAGTTATGGTATAAAAATGGTAATTTGGTATACTAAGTGTAATTAAGTCAAACCTTAAACATTGAGGGTAAAAAGGTTTTCTATGTGGTATAGGAACGTAAAAATCCCTTTTCTCTTTATCTCTTGCGCTGTACATAGTTTATACTTGGTAATAAAATTGTTTAATTGCCAAAAAAAAAAAAAAAATCTTGGCCTTTGATTTTAGCAATTCATCCATAAAATTTGGGTGTGTCTATTTAATTTTTTTATTGACATATTAAGCCAGAATATGCGATAAAAATAGTGTGAACTAATCAAGATACATGCAAAACTAATTTCTCCACCACCATTATGAAGAAAAACAACACAGAGATTTCAAAACAGGAATTAAGTTATTTGGAATGTTTATGTTTTTGACACAAATTGCAAGCCAAAAGCCCTTTTTGTGGAACATTTGGAATTGTGATCACCCCAATTGAACTCTAGTTCCAAATATTCCCCAAAAAAGTAGAGTGAAGCAACACGTAATACTTGGTGGAAAATAAAGACGTTACTATTATTATATTTCTTATAAAAGAAAGAAAGCAACAGGTGAAGTGGTGCTATATAGCCAGCCAAACCTAGGAGACAAAATCATCTGACAACAAAAGCAAGCAGGCAAAAACACCTCTTTCTTCCTCTCTGATTTTGATGGCTTCTTTGACTTTGCCATCGTCTTATTCAACTTCCCTCTCTTCTTCTTCCTCTACTTGTCTCTTCTCTTCTTCTTGCTCCTCTCTCAGACACACAGCCTTCGTTCCCAAACGAACCCGCCTTCCCAGCTACGTAGTAGTAAGTACTAATTAATTACCTTCCTCATTTTTGTATTTGCTTCTCTCATTTGTTTGTCATATGTACTATGTTGCTATTCATCAGTCACTCATTGACTTGAGGCAGAATTTCCTCACCACTTTAAGTTTTCGTTATTGATCTTTTAGATGGAGGGAGGAGATGTAATGAAATAAATCTTTCTTTTTTTGTTTACTCTCTCTCTCTGTTTTTCCCCCCTTTTCTCATAGTTTCTTGTTTGGTTATTGTTTATAAGTTATGACAAATGATTAGGATGTGTACATGTATTTTCCACCACCCTCTATTTTTGTTATTAATTATGCTTCTCTACTTTACTCATTCTTTCCTAAAACCGTCATACTATCACTACTTGAAGAGTCCAACAACTTTTTTCTTGCATAGAAAGTATTTGCATTAAGAAAACTGTGATTTAGTGTACCTTATATGAACTTTTAAAGTACCTAAAAATATCTCTAAAAGATTATGATATATTAATGATTAGTTTGTTATGATTTTGTACTATGAATGCTGCCATTCTTGGAATAAAAGCTTTTACTGAATTGTATATAGTTACTCACTTTGTCAAATGTCCTATTTGGTTGGTTCAAGGTCTTTGGAGCTTATGCAAATTAAACTTGTTTGTTTTATTAATGCTTGTCCTTTTCTTGTCTTAGAATTGTGAAATCAATAAACCAGTGGATGAGAAGCCTATTATTCCAATCATTAATGACGAGACACTTCCAGCATTCTTGCAAGCCAAACGCTTACAAAATGCAGTTAGAAGTAACAACACCAAGCTGAAGATATTTTCCGGAACTGCAAATCCTTCACTTTCTCAGGTAAATAATTCTATATATGAGGGACTTGGGGGATGCCTAGTTATCAGCAATGCCATATACTATAATTGTCTTTGATGTCACTATAAGGTCTTTCTGTCCACCTCTTGTGATCTCCCACTTTACTTTTGTGTAACATTATCCCTATTCTCTTGAATGACACTGGGATCCTCTTATATGTAACTATATACATTTAAGGTTAAGATACTCCTAGTAAAGCATCAGAGCCATATAAACGTGCTAACATGACAAACATATTCCCAACTAGTTGATATACACCTATATTGATCTTTTTCTTTCATTGTTCCCTATCTTTAGCTAATTCTGCATGGATTCCAAGAAATTGTAGGTCTTTCAAAACAATTTTCTTATATTTAAGTGTCAATAGTCTTATGAATTTGAATCCTGGAAAAAACAACTACACCTCAATTTCTAAACTCAAGTTCGGATCGACTATATGAATCATCACTGACCATGTCGTGCCACTTAAGCTCATCTAATACCAATTTAAATTCTGAAAGGTGGTATAGAAATAGAATGCTATACATTTTGGAGCTTCCTATATGGAAAGAGGGTCTTATAAATTGGAACATAGGAAGTAAGTTATTTGAAGACTTTGTTGCGTCTCCTTTTTTTTTGGGTGTGTGTGTGTGTTTGGGGGGGGGGGGGGGTATCGTGGTGGGGGATATATGAGGTCTTAGTAGCTTAAGTTTGTCATCATCTAATGTGCCAACCGAATACACATAATTTTGGACTTGTCACACGAAGAAATGGTCACCAAATCGTGGGGGACTCCCTGTAACTGTATATTTTTCTTGCCCTTGAGCTTATTTCATCGTGCCTACATGGATATAGTTTGTTATTACAGAAGATGGTGTATGTTTCAGGGTGGACACTGCTGTTTCAATTTCTCTTTCCTCATGAAGTAAAAACTTTTGAATTAACTGATATATTTGATACTCGATTGCCAGTCTTTTAAAGATTGTATGGGAAGCGAAGTAAAAATGCATTTCAGTTTCAGCTTAATAATGTTAAGGATTAGTGCGAACAGACCCCTCCCCCCTCTTCTTTCTGGTCTTAATTTTCCGCTCCCCTATATATCAAGGTGATGAAAATTGAAATTACAAAAAGTAAACAGGAAGACCAGTGAAAAAGGATGATGGATAGCAAAAAAACAAGGATAATTGAGTAGTATTTCTTCGTTTTTCTTTTTCCAAAAGTTGCCACCACTCTTATCTATGTCTAAAATGTCCAGTTGCTGCATGAATTGTTATTCGAGCTGTGAAATCCATTTAAATACTGTCAACTTTTACACTATACTTCTTTTCTCAGCTGATGTAGTCTTTTTCTTTGTCGCTTAGGAAACTGCTTGGAACATGGGGCTTGAACTGGGAAAGATCAACATCAAGCGCTTTGCTGATGGTGAAATTTATGTCCAGTTGCAGGAGAGTGTTCGAGGCTGTGATGTTTTCTTGATTCAGCCGACTTGCCCTCCAGCCAATGAAAACCTCATGGAGCTTTTGGTGATGGTAGATGCATGCCGAAGGGCTTCAGCCAAAAGAATTACCGCGGTGATTCCATATTTTGGATATGCCAGAGCCGATAGGAAGGCAAGTTTCTTTGTGTGCAGATTTCATGTTTGGTGTTTTTAGTTTTCACATTTTTTGACTCCAAGGAGTTATCACTTGTTGAAAAGAAAAGAAATCAATGTTTACATCTTCTGGTCTTTGACATAAATATAAATAATTAACAAAAGGGACATTTTAAGTAGATTTTTATTTATCATATTTTATATCGCTTCAGACACAAGGTCGTCAATCCATTGCTGCCAAATTGGTCGCAAATATGATAACGAAAGCAGGTGCAGATCGTGTTCTTGCTTGTGATCTTCACTCTGGGCAATCCATGGGCTATTTTGACATTCCAGTGGATCATGTGTACTGTCAGGTAATCTTTAGTTTGTCAGTATCATTAAGAACTGCAAATTTATTTAGCTGATAGGCAGTTTGCCTTTTTTGTACACGCTAGCCTGTTATACTTGATTACCTCGCTAGCAAGAAGATTTCTTCCAATGATCTGGTGGTGGTCTCTCCTGATGTTGGAGGAGTTGCTAGAGCACGTGCTTTTGCAAAAAAGTTATCAGATGCACCTTTAGCCATTGTCGACAAAAGACGCCAGGGCCACAATCTTGCTGAGGTATTTTCAGAGCTGGCGTTTACATTTTCACGCTTAATACAGTTTTTATCTCTTGTGCCATTCGGTTTCTTACTCGTAAATATATGAGGTAGACGTATCCCAGTTACATCCGTGTGCTTGGTATTCCTTTTCCAGGTAAGTATGGGAAAACAAAATAGGTGAGACAAAACCTTTTCATAGGTCTGATTTGGCTTGAGACCAAAGTGTTGTCTTACACTTATTAGAGATGCCTATACAAGCTGGGGTCTTTGGAGAGTTAGAGAGCCTATTGAAGAAAATCTGGCTAATGTTTCCTGCCTGCATTTATGTGGTGTGTGTAGATATAAAGAAATCTCATGTGCTTTGATGAATTTCTAACTTGCAACCACTCTGTGAAAGCTAGGCGTTTGATTAACCTCTTTTGCTGGTGCAATTTGCACAAATTCAACTAATATGCACTGGAGCTAATCTTAATTGCATTTTGCGTTGCATCCTCTGGATGCTATCAACTAAAATACTTACCTTTAAAAAAAACCTGTGGGGATGTAGCTCCACCACTATACCATACTTTAGTCCCCGGTATCGACCTAGCCAAGTTGTGGACGAGCCAAGCAAGTTTCTTTTGGGTGGAATTCCTGAGTTCTTGAAGCCCTTTCACTCCTAATTCTGTTCTTTTTCCACTTTTTTAGGGATTAAAGGAAGGTAGAAAAGTTCCCCGCTGATCTTTTGGGGGCCCTCCCTTGCCATTGTGTTTGGGCCCCATGATAAATGCTCTGTAAAAGATCTTTATGACTGGTAATTCGATAGTGGCTGCAATAAAGTTTCTTCCCTAAAGTATTCCATGTAGTTGAGAAATATAATCTTTAAACTTGAAGTGATTGTTTCCCATCTATTGAAAGAAATCTTTCGTCTTAATTATGTTTATCCTTGTGTGTATCTAACTTGGGTTCGTCTCATGTATGCAAAGAAACTAAACAAATCTTCACAGAATAAATTGTGTGATGTAAGGACTGCTGCCGCAGTGATCTCTGGCAGTATGCCTGATCTAAGCCAAATGCTTAATGAGATTAAAACATCAAATAATTATCGTATAGTGGTCTTTTAGTTGTTGTCTGCATTTGTCTACAATGGTTCTATACCTTCCACCTCTATTTGGTTCTATATTTTCATGTATCGTTTGCTCTCATGCGTGTGAATCATCAACCAAATTTTTATTTATGTTTTACCACTTTCACCTTCTAAAATAAGAAATAACTATCCACATAAATAGGCAGAAGCCAGTAGCACACATGCTTCATAGTCTATGAATACAAAGAACATGAGTCGAAGAGTTTTCATAGTACTAGACAAAGCAATAAAATGCGATGAACAAGTTTAAGTTCTAGGTGCTAGGATCAGTTTCATTTTTTGGTTGCTTTTCATGCATCCTATTGTGTCCTTGACTCCATGTCTTTTTGTTGCTTACAGGTTATGAACCTGATTGGTGATGTTAAAGGAAAAGTTGCAGTCATGTTGGATGACATGATTGACACAGCAGGTGGGCTAGATTACATATATCGGACACTCTGGCTAGCCACTAACTGGTCCTGCTTTTCTCTTCTACCTTTTCGAAGAGATGTTAATGTCAACTGTAGTGATTTGAGTGTCCTTCTTTATTCGTTGCGTGGAAATATGTTACCTTCTATTATCGTCACTCTTAAGATTGTGAAGTGTCTCAACAAGAACTTCCACCGCAGTTCTTACATAAATTTCCTTATGTTTCTGTTGCTCTTGCTCTTAGGGACTATTGCCAAAGGTGCAGCACTTCTGCACGATGTGGGAGCAAGGGAAGTTTATGCATGCTGTTCACATGCTGTTTTTAGGTAACATTACTTTGCTTTTTTGTACAAATATGTAAAAATCTTAGATATATTTTGGAGTAAGCTTTCAGCAGCGTTGTCATTTTGGTAAATATGGATCCATTTTTACGCACCTGATTGTAAATGATATTTTAACATGCAACATGACTGTTGCTGTGTGAAAATTGTTCTATCCTTTTGGTTGTCCATGAATCATGGTTAAATTCCGCTTTTATTGCAACAGTAATTATGGAATGGGAGCATGGTTGATCCCTGTGCAAATATGGAATCACCATACTTTTTCAAACTGACATATTAATCTTCCGTCCAAGTGTCGTGGAGTTAGAACTGATGATTGGTGCGAGAGTATTCAGCATTACCTAATACAAGAGAAAAACTGGTGTAGTAGTCTTTTGTAGTTTTGAAGATTAGATAAATGATTACTAGATGTAGAGAATCCCATATGGGAGTAAGTTCAAACCATCATGTAAATATCTTCTCTTGAACATCATCCATATTGTTCAAAGCAAATTTAGGTCATCGAATTGGGACATTATGGGAGGTCTATCTTGTGTTAGACTTGTACAACATTGATGTCAAGACTAGACATACTATGGCTCTTTAGTGTCTACTGCATACAAATGCTATTGCTCTCTTTCTCTGGCTTTCAACATTTCTGATAAATTCTTTAGACTGGTTAGTAATTTAGTCATAATGCATATCGCTTGCTGTTGCCTTTATTAATCAACTGTTGCTTATTTTATGCTGACAGCCCCCCAGCTGTTGAAAGGTTGTCAAGTGGTCTATTTCAAGAGGTTATCACTACAGACACAATTCCAGTGATGGACAAAAACTATTTCCCACAGCTGACTGTTCTTTCAGTTGCAAACCTTCTTGGTGAAACAATTTGGCGCGTGCATGATGATTCTTCTGTGAGTAGCATTTTCCAGTAGGTAGGAATACAACCCCTCATTTACGCCTTCTGATTGACTAACTCGCTTGTTTAGCTTCTTCATGCAACTTTTTTCTTCAGAATTTTTCTCCCTTATTTCACTGGATCCTCCACTGGCATGAAATTCCTTTTACTTTCTCTACCTTTGGCTTTGTAGCTGCCAGCAGAGTGAACAATATCATCTATAGTGTTTTCACACTTGTTTTTCTTTGTAGCCAAACCTATAGAAACCATTACATTTTCAAAATATTTTAGTAGGATCAAGGAAACTAAAAGGGGCCAGCACCCAGCACTACAGAATTGAATGAACAGGAGTCTCACCACATATATATTTATGTGAGACTTGGAAGAATAAATTCTTTAGACTGGTTAGTGGTTAGGTGGTTTGGACATGTGAGCAGGAGCACAGACACCCCGGTGAGGAGGTGTGAGAGGTTGACATTGGAGGGCCTACGGAGAGATAGAGGTAGGCCGAAGAAGTCGGGAGAGGTAATCAGGCAAGACATGGCGCAACTTCAGTTGATCGAGGACATGACCCTTGATAGGAAGGTGTGGAGATTGATGATTAGGGTAGTAGGGTAGGTGGTCTAGATTGTTCATACCGGTAGTATTAGTATGCACTCTCGCATTCTGTTGGTAGTAGGTTTCTATGACTACCTATCGTTTTCTTTCATTTTGATCATCTTATTATCGTGTTGTTTTTATGCTGCTTTTACATGGCTTTTTGGTGTTGTCCCTCCTTGTCTATCTTTTCATTAATGTGCTGCTTATACTTTCCTGAGCCGAGGGTCTATTAGAAACAACATCTCTACCTTCACAAGGTAGGGGTAAGGTGTGCGCACACACTACCCTCCCCAGACTCCACGGTGTGGGGTTGTTGAATAAAAACAAGAAAAATCTTATAAATATAGTCACATACAATAGATATCCTCTTAACGCAGCACAATCAATAAGTTTCTAACTTTGGGAAAAAAGGAATAATAAAAATGTTTTACGCCGTCCAAACTTCAAGTGTAAGAGCAACAGATCTCTCTCTGTGCGTATGAATGTATGTATTACTCCCTCCATTTTAGTTTGGGCAAAAATCTATTACTCCTTCCATTTTAGTTTAGGTGACCTTGTTTCCATTTCGATCTATTCCAGAAAGTAACCATTTCTATGTTCGAAAAACAAACTTCCTGTGTATTCTTAAGAAGAAGTACTTATTGCCACAAGACAATTATGACAATGTTTAAATCACAAATTTCAAAGTCATTATCTTTTTCCTAAATTTCGTGCCCGATCAAATAGGATCACACGGTTTAAAAAGAAACATTCGGTTGTTGAATAACTCCAACCACATAGTGTCAAAGTCTTGCGTCCTGGGCCAAATGTTCTTGTACTCCACTACAACATAATTTGTTAAAAATTTGGTAGGAGTACATAGTGGACCGACCACGACTCGTGACCTTTTCAAACAAATGCTTGGCTATCACTCAGCAGCAAATTATTATGAATGCTAAAAACACTTACCCTTTAGTGAAAAACTATTTGGACAATCAAACTTAATAAGTTTTGATATAAAATTGAGAGCTATCACTCGCCAGCAGATTATTGTGAATGACTGAATGTTATGTAAATTATTTGGACAACATCTGTATACTTAGAAGTTTTTCTTGTTAAAGAAAAGAAATTTAAAAAAGAAGTGTTCCTTGTTTGAATTGAGAGCTACAACTACTAATCATGTTTATCAAGAAAAATACCTCTCAGTCCCTAAAATAGTCTTTATACTGTTCCCATCATCTCAAAAGTATTTACGTGTAAATGAATAAATGTTGTCCAAATTCGCATTTGATGTTCTTTTTTTATTATCACGGAGTTATTGAAAAGTTTAATCCCAAAGATTAACCCAATCCATTATTCCAAAGGCAATCGACATGGCCCACTCAACAGCCCAAATATCCCGAATTTGGCTACAAAGATGACACTACTTTTTGGGATCTACTATCTACAAGAATTTCTAACATTTCTCCTGCCTAATCAAAGCCATAAACGTGGCCCATTCTGTGCCGCACAACAAAAAGAGGAAACAGCACACGAGCAAATTCCTTTATGGGATCAGCAAAATGATCTTTCTGTCAGGTCTAGTCAGCACCACGCGCTTGGTTTGTCTGATTGGAGCTTGTAACTACGCGCCTCTGTCCTGCCTCCGTTGCGCCTCTAGCGTGGCAATAGCCATGTCAATGGGGGCGGAAAGAGCCAGTGATGCGCGGAGGGACGGTGGAGATGCCTTGTTTGGAGAGCGCGTCGAGAACACTCTCTGTGGAAGGAGGTTTTAGGCCTAAGGGTAGAGGCAACCATGGCTTGTTTATTGCCTCCTTCACTACCTTATCTATCACCTCCTCGGCCTGCAAAACCCCAATATAGCATTTTCAGAGAATTTTTATAGCAAACACCATCCATGGTACGTGAATTCATTATGAATGTGTGAAAATATTTAGTACTAGTAACTGGCCAAACTTAAATCTAAATCTAAAGAATATATAAAACCATGACAATGGTAACTGGCCAAACTTACCGGCTGAAGATCAAGTGATTTCTCTAGTATGCTATATCTATTCTGTATTCCCACAGCCTTGTGTAATCCAGATGCATTCTGCAATTTCCAACCAATGGTGCAGAGTTATGATTTATGAACATAGTCCAAGTGGTCATTCACATAGAACAGCCATTTTATACTGCTGAATTGAACACAAACATTCAAAGAAGAGAGTAGCACCTACGCATTTACCTGAGGATACGGTGGACATGATCCGAAAGATGGAGGCGTAACAGGGCAACCCCATACATCAGCACATAGCTGCAGATCATCAAATAACAGATTTGTTTAGTTCTTTGAACTCCGAATTCAGTAAAACACTTACTTTCAGCTAAACAGAAATAATTTAGTTAAGGATAGAAAAATTACCCCTGGATGAGGCGTCCAGTGCCAAGTCTCGGACGGTCGCCATCCAGGATAGTAAGGCGAACCCCATATACGTGCACCATTTGGGTAGTTACCTGGTGGTACCCAGGCAGGATAGAATTGACCAGAAGCGGGTGCATGATTTGAATGATATGTTGGGAAGGCCATGACAGGTTTATGTGGATAGTAGCTCCTCTGTACTGAATCTCTAGGTTGAGGACGAGGCCATCTTTTCTCATCTTCCTTTGGCAAAATTTGCCTCCGTTGCATTCTAAATTTCTGCATGGAATTCAAAAGGCGATACTGTTCTTGAGCTGAACAAAATATCCGTAAAAACTGTTTAAGATGACACCAAAAACATTTTTGGTGAAATAAATTTTCAGCATGTTTCTCATCCTACCAAACGGACCATGGTTTAGTCAAGTTAGGACTTCTTTTTGTTCCTTATTAAATTTATTGCATTATGAGGTTATGTATCATGCTCCCTTCTATCCAGCAGGCAACGCTTGCTTTTGCATTCATTTTCACGCATTGAAAAGCTTGAATTAAAAGAAAAAGATACTAGTATTAAATTATCAACGAACAGAACTCAGCCAACCTGGAGATGGCTAGCTACATTATGTCTCGTCAAACCTTCTACTTTCATCAGCTCCAGTATTCGAGAAGGAATGGCTTGATCTATACCGAGTTGCTCTACTGCTTTAACAAATTTCTTGTGTAGTTCAGGTGTCCAGTCTACCTGGATCCAAAGGAGAGACAAAAGCTTACTCCCGAAAACAACTGATCCAAAATAAACCAGGATTCTAGTTAACTACATAATGCTAAAAAAGCACAAGCTAAACTTTACTTGGACCCTATTCTGATTGCCAAATATCAAATTCTGTTTATTGTTTAACACTAGCAGTCAAGGTCATCTTGAGCCGAGGGTCTACTGCTGTACTGCAAAAAGGACTCTCTACCTTCTTAAGGTAGGGGTAAGGTCTGCATACACACTACCCTCCCCAGACCCCTCTTGTGGGATTTCACTGGGTTTATTGTTGTTGTTGTTGTTGTTACTAGCAGTCAAGGTCACCCAATACATTATTGCTACTATTGTCAGTGATAGAGTTAGTCAGCATTTGTTCCATCTTACCTTCATCTTCTTCTTATTAGCTTTCGTCCCACTTGAACTGTGGAGACCAGATGCTTTACTAGAGTCAGCAGAACGAGTACTGCCATTGCCTGTGCAGTCATTACTTCGTGAACAAGTAGCAATGTGATCCTCCATCTTCTGATCAGCAGCAAAATCATGCTCCTCTTTTGTGATAGCCTCTCCTAGTCGCCCTGGAGAATCCGCCAGGACAGTAGTCTCAGCAACAGAATCGCAACAAGTAGTTTCGACAGATTTTGTGTCCCCTTCATTCACCCCACTATCTTGTTCAGTTGACAAGATAGTATGATCTTGGAAATCACCATCGTCCACTGACCTTACTCCTTGTTTCTGTTGTGGAGTTGAAGGAGCTGGATATTTATCACAGTATGGTGGTAATTCTTTTTGGTTTTCCACCACTGAGGTCAAAGGTTCAGCTCCATTAGAATTTTCATTATCTGCTTCATTCTTTACTTCACTCTTTACTGGTTGGAGCTCTAGCATGGACAAAAGAGATTCTTTGACCGGCTTAAGCGACTCAGAGACATTCTTTCCTCCAGAATTAAATGCCTGTTCCAGCTAATAAAAGTCAGATTTTCCTCTACATTTAATAAGCTCAACAGTCTGAACGAAGTTTAGGAAGAACCTTGTGAACTACATGCTGCCATATATTTCTTAGTTTATCATCTGATAGTGGTTTCTGAAGGAACTCAACTGCACCATGCTGCAAAACATCAAAATTTATTGTGATATAATTCAATAATTTTTCACTTAATAACCCAAAAAAATTGTATCAAATGAAAATGTGAGCTACGAGATATCACCGCTATACACTTCATCATGGTGCTAATTGAGTGAATACCTGAAACCACTGGGAAAAAAGGATTAAAGAAGTTCTATCAGAAATATTTCACACTGAAGAGCAAGTAAAGTTTCTAAGTTTTATTGTTTCATGATATTTCTAAGCAGAGATAGTTTGTGCTTTTCACAATATTGTTTTATGGTAGGCTGTGTTCGAACCGTGGAAACAACCATTAATGCTTGCATTAGGGTAGGTTGTCTACATTACGCCCCTTAAGGTGCGGCCTTTCCAATGCATGATGCTTTGTGCACCGTGTTGCCCTTTTCTATAATATTGTTTTATGAATCTAGAATCACTTCAAAAACAAAAATTAAGGGAACATAAAAAAGGAATGAAGTTAACACTAGATCTAACTTAATAAAGTAAGTATCAATTCCAAGAACAAGATTTAGGACAAAGATACCAATTATGCCTCTAATTGCAATACAGAAGCACTTACTTATAGTCGGCAGATCTCTAGCACTTGTGAGAAATTTGAGACCCCCATCTCTGTTGCCTGCAGTTACCTGTTGACAATTTACAGACACATACATAAACAGTAAGAAAACATTGGCATTGCTTCACTTTTCTGGTAATAAACCACTATAAAGTGAGAATGGACAAGGAGAACTATATATAGCTGTTTTAGTTACAGCATATAATTACTTAAGAAAATCTGTTTCTCCATAAAACATAAATGTACTATTTACAATCCAAGCTCAATTTTGTACATGAAAACAATATGAAGTTGAAGGGTAAAAGTTCCTAGTGTAGAAAAACAAAAGCTTTACCTCTACAATGGCTAGATGGAATACTTCTGACTTG